TTGTGCTATCCTGCTCTTGACCTATAGCTTCCAGGGATTTCAACTCTGTAGAACTTTTTCTTTTCTTTCTTTCCCCTGCCTCCCCTTCCTCCCTCCTTCTTTTTCCTTTCTTTTTTTTTCTTTTCTTGTTCTTTCTTAGAAATCAGTTTTATTTAGGCATACTTTACATACAGTAGAATTCACATATTTTAAATGTACAGGTTGATGCCTTTTTTGGGCAAATGTAACCCATATAAACAACATTTGAATCAAGAAACCGAACATTCTCTGGATGCCTGGCTGGCTTATTTGGTAAAGCATGCAGCTCTAGATCTCAGGGTTGTGAGTTTGAGCCCCACATTGAGTGTAGAGCCTCCTTAAAAAAATTTTTTTTTAAGTAAAGAAAGAAACAGAACATTTTCATCTCAGAAAATTCTGTCATGCCCCTTTGTAGTCAGTCTACCCCTCCCTCCACTCTAGGCAACCACTGTTCTGATTTCTCACTGTAGATTAATTTATAAATGAAATTATACAGTATGTATCCTTTTTTTCTATGCTGTCTTTCACTAAGCATAATTGTTTTTCTTAATGTTTATTTATTTTTGAGACGGGGGAGAGGCAGAGAGAAAAGGGGACAGAAGACCCCAAGTAGGCTCTGTGCTGACAGCCAACAGCCAGATGCTGGGCTCAAACTCACAAACTGAGAGATCATGACCTGAACTGAAGTCAGACGTTTAACTGACTGAGCCACCCTGGTGCCTTGAAGCATAATTGTTTTGAAATTCATCCATATTGTTGCATATATGGGTAGTTGTTTTTTTAGTCCTTTGGTCTCCAAAGTTTAGTGTACCGAATGTGACTGGATGTATTTCCTTACCAGAATCGAGCTGGAAATTCCTTTTTGGTTAGCACGATACTGTCAGCTCCTCCTTCCCCCACACTCCCAGCCACTTGCCCTCCAACACTTTATATAGCTTTTTACCTCCTGTTGAGCTCAGGCTTAGATTTGCTCCAGTCCCTGAGCTGGTACTGTCCAGGGCAAAAAAAGAATAGTAGTAAAGTGGAGTAGGGAAGAGTTTGGTTTGAAGTGAAGTCATACTGGCCATCAGGTTTGAGATTTAACATGCTGGGGACATACTCGAGGCACCTGTTGAGCTTTGGAGCTAGCTGTATCATTTCTGTTTGTCATGATTTTCATGGAGTTAGCCTGCCCTGCATCCTTTTCTAGTCCTCTAGGACCAAGATGGTGCTGAGAAGTACAATACATTGCTGTGAATAGTTCTCTTTGAACTGTGGTGCATACAGTTCCACCTGACTTCTGCGTTATGAGTCACTGCTTAGATTCCCTTATACCATACCCAGTTTGTCAGTTTGGACCTCCTGGAATATTGTATAAAAAATGATTATCTTTTTGACCACGGAAAATAAGATCTACACTCTGATTTTAGTGTAAGACTAAATCTGTTTGCCTGAGTTTGCTATGCCCTTTTGACACTTTGGATATTTGGCTCTCCTCATTCAAGCCGGTCTGTGGCTGGAATACCTTTTCTTAGCCCACAATGAGAATTATAGTATGGTACTCTGAATGGTATTGGCTCATTTTTTCTTTCCCTGCTGTTGTGTTAGTTGTGTCAATCTTGGCATATCACTTGCTTCAGGCTTTTCCCTATAGAACTAGTATAGTTGAAAGTATAGGATTTCAAATGAGAAAGCCTGAGTTCAAATCCTAGTTTGCTACTTTTTCTTTGTATCACCTTTGAGAAGTCACTGCACTTTTTAAATTTCAGTTTCTGCATCTTATAAAAAATGCTCCCTTGCAGAGTAGATTGATGAGTAAATGAGAATGCAGGTGAAAAAGCTTTGAGACTGTAAAGCACTATGCAAATGTTAATTTTATTGTCATTTTTGTTTTTTTCTCACTAAAGAGGTTGCAGATAATCATTGTGACTCGGAGTAAAATCTTGAATTGACCCTGGCAGGTCTTTGAGCTGCTTTGGCTTTCAAATGACTGGTTGAGCTGATGGAGGCCATAGGGAGAGACTTGGCAGGACTTTTGATAGATTTTTTTCCATGTTGTAATGGAACCTCCCTTTCTCAAGGATAGGGAAAATGCTTATTTTATATTATTCCATACCTAGAATGCTGTCTACCAAATCAGAATTAATTGGTACTGATTAACATGGCTATCTCAATAGAGTGACCCCATCAGGATGAATCTCATTTAAATTAAATTGACTGAAGTCATGCTGTAAATCATAGTTTATTTCAGCAGCTAGGAAGATAATTTAATTATTTTCTTTCAAAATGTACAATCTTACTTGATAAAACGTTAATACAGCGTGTTGTCTTCAGATCTCGGGAATAGGCTGTATTTATAGAAGCTCTTTTCTGAGCTTCTCCCAGAAGTGTCTCCTTCATAATGTAAGTCAACCATTCAGCTCTGTGATCTCTACTACTTACCTAGATTTGCTGACTGCGTTTTATCATAAAGCACTGCAGTGCTGTCATTGCCTCAGCTGGTGTCAATCAAGTTGCTCAACTGAATGACATTGAAAATATGTTTTGAAAGTACCAGGATTATACTGACAATGAATTCTATAAAACATTAAAAGAACATCCACAAGTCAGAATTAATGTCTTTACAATCTCATGTATTATGTAACCACAAGTTATAATTAGTATTCTACTAAAATATATTTGAATTTTTTTAAAAAGGAGCTCAAGTTAAAAATTTACATTGGGTTTTTGTTTTCTTTCCAAAAACATTTCAAGAATCTGTTTTTAAATAATATTTGGATACTTAAAAACATTTTTAAACTTTCCTATTTTTTATTGAGGTATAATTGACATACAACATTCTATTAATTTCAGGTCTACAGCATAATGATTTGGTAATTGTACATATTGTGAAATAATGACTACAACAAGTCTAGTTAACATCTGTCACCATGAATAGTTACAAAGTGATGAGAACTTTAAAAAAAATTTTCATGTTTATTTTTTGAGAGAGAGAGAAAGAGAGAGAGAGAGACAGCATGAGCAGGTGAGGGGTAGAGAGGGAGACAGAATCCGAAGCAGGCTCCAGGCTCTGTGCTGTCAGCACAGAACTCAATGTGGGGCTCGAATTCAAGGACCATGAGATTATGACCCGAGCTCGGTGCTCAACTGGCTGAGCCACCCATGTGCCCCTGTTGTGATGAGAACTTTTAAGATTTACTCTTTTAGCAACTTTCAAATACACAATACAGTATCATTAGCTATTGTTGCCATGCTGTACATTACATCCCCATGACTTACTTTATAACTAGAAGTTTGTACCTTTGACTCCCTTCCCCCATTTTGCACCCCCCACTGCCAGCAACCACCAGTCTGTTCTCTGTATCTATGAGCTTGTCTTTTTTTTTAAGATTCCACATATAAGTGAGATTATATAATATATGTTTTTCTCTATTTGACTTATTTCACTTAGCATAATGCCCTCAAGGTCCATCTACGTTGTCACAGATTGCAAGATTTCATTCAGATAAAAAGATTTCATTCTTTTATGGCTGAATAATATTCCATTGTATGTATTCCGCAAATTTTTATCCATTCATCTGTTGATGTTCACTTAGGTTGTTTCCATATTTTGGTTATTATTGTAAATAATACTGCCATGAATGTGGGGGAGCATATATTTTTTCAAGTTACTGTTTTCATTTTCTCTGAATAAATACCCACAAGTAGAATTGCTGGATCATATGGTATGTCTATTTTTAATTTTTTGAGAAACTTCCATACTGTTTTACGTAGTGGCTACACCAGTTTACATTCCCACCAACAGTGTGCAGGGGTTCCTTTTTCTTCACATCCTTGCCAACACTTATTTCTTGTCTGTTTGATATTAGCCATTCTAACAGGTGTGAGGTGCTATCTCATTGTGATTTTGATTTTCATTTCCCTGATGATTAGTGATGTTGAACATCTTTTCAGGTACTTATTGGCTTTCTGTATGTCTTCTTTAGAAAAATGTCTATTCAGATCTTCTGCCCATTTTTAAAGTGGGTTTTTTTTTTTTTGCTTTTTTTATTAAGTAATCTGCATCCCACATGGGACTTGAGCTCACAACCCTGAGATCAAGAGTTGCATGCTTTACTAACTGAGCCAGCTGGGTGCCTCTTTGCTTTATGAAGTCTTAATATGAATCTATTTTCTGATGCTTAACTGAAAGTTTTTAATTTAGCAGATTTATTATTGTAGCATGTTAAAAATTCTTTCAAAATGTGCTCTTATAGTATTGTTAAGAATATTAACATTCTTGCTAGTTGATGCTCAGAAATGTAAGAAATTAGAGACGTATAAAGGTTATGGAGACTTCTATTACATGAGTTTGGAAAAACCTCAATTTGATAAGATGAAGGGCATTAATTATGATTTTACATCATGCTTGGGTTTTAAGGAATTCTGTGGCCTAATAAGATTCAGTTATATGGAATCTGGAACTTAGATTGTTTAGAAAATGGTGACATCACTTGTACAGATTCAATAACTGGTTAATGTTGTTGGTAATTGGGCATGTCATTTTTTTTTCTCACAAAGTAAGGTCAAGACTTCAGTGCCAGCATGAGTTAGTTATGTCTGTCTAATGCTTAAAAATATTAATAAGTATTTCAATTTTAATGGGTATTCTCAGTCTCCCTTCAGAATTTCTGCATTTTCTAGTTTTGAAGACACTGTTAATTTAAATCTTGCAGTTTTAAGATGACCTATTTGTGAAGTCAAGGCATTTTACTTTCTGACAATGAGTGATGATTAAGTTATTAAACAAGTGACTTTAGGGAATGCAAATTTTATTTGAAATTGTACTCTACCCTTACCTAAAAGAAACTTTATCTCCAGTTTGGTTTTACTCTAATGATAATTCAAGTTTCTTCATGCTATATTTATTTTACCAAAGATCTAAGAACAGATTTAAAAATGATTTTCTACTTTTTCCCAATGGTGATAGTTCACAACACTTGTATCATCCATTGTTATTTCAGAAATTGTTGAAAACCTGATTGTAAGAGATAATTCACCTAGCATACCTGAGGCAATTGAAAGACTCTTCAATGACATAGCAAGTATCAACAGGGATTCTATGGCTGAAATACAGGATGCTCAGGTTGGTATAAAAATAATTTTGTTTATGAAAAATTTTTGAAAGATTTTATTTTTAAGGAATCTCTACACTCAATGTGGGGCTTGAACTCATAACCCCAAGACAGGAGTCACATGCTCCACTGACTGAGCCAGCCAGGTGCCTCTGATAAGTTTTGATGATTCACCATTTTAATTATATAAAAAAATAGCCGTTGTGATTAACCATTATAAATACATAGAAATCTGTCTTTGGATTTTCAAGCCTAATGGCTTAAAAACAACTAAAGCAAAGAATAAATTATACAAAGTGGCATAATTAATTGCTCAATTATGTGAAATTTAATGAATATAGAAGTTCAAAGAAGGGAGAGATCAATATAGACTATAGTGGTTGCTGAAAGCTTCATGTGTGAGACTGAACTGGATTTGAGTTACATAAAGACAAGGGGAGGAGGTATATTAGGTACAGCCAGCAGTATGAATAAAAGTGCATAGATATAAATAAACAAGTTGTGTTCATGGGAGAGTCACATAATGTGACTACGTTTTTGGGAGGCAAGGTGGAATGGGATTAGATTATGAGGGGCCTGTAAATGACCCACAATAGTCACATAAGCATAAAACATGCAAGAAAATCCATATCATTGGAGGTGGATGGTATTTTAACTGGCTAAGAAAATGTTTTTCTTGTCCAGGTTGAAGAAATGGCAGTAAACCTATGGAACTGGGCAGTTACCAAGAGAGTAGGTTCAGTTATAAGTGAAGAGCAGAAAGCTAAATGTATGTATACATTCATTTTACAAGGAATATTTTTATTATACATTAGGTTGTGTTCCTGCAGTTTAAATAATATTTTGACTAGTTCATAAATGGGTATTTATTAAAAGAAAAATAAACAAAATGATCTATACATAGAAGTTTCTTAAGCAAACATCTTGAATTTTGTGATTTTTCAGAGGTTAGCTCCTGATTAATAAAAGTTTAAAAGCATCACTGCTTCTTTATCTATTCATCACGTTGATGTACATTTGGGCTCTTTCCATAATTTGGCTGTTGTTGATAATGCTGCTATAAACATCAGGGTGTGTATAAGGAAGCTGTGGTGTATATATACAATGGAATATTACTCAGCTATCAAAAAGAATGAAATCTTGCTATTTGTAATGACATGGATGGAGCTAGAGGGTATTATGCTAAGCGAAATAGAGAAAGACAAACACCATATGATTTCACTTATATGTGGAATTTAAGAAACAAAACAGTGAACATACAGGAAAGAAGAAAAAGAAGCAAACCATAAGAGACTCTTAAATTGGAGGACAAACTGAGGGGTGATGGAAGGAGGTGGGTGAAGGATGAGCTAAATGGGTGATGGGTATTAAGGAAGGCACTTGTTATGATGAGCACTGGGTGTTGTATGTAAGTGATGAATCACTGAATTCTACTTCTGGAACCAACATTGCACTGTATGTTAACTAACTAGAATTTATTTTTATTTTATTATTTTTAAAAAGTGTTTATTTTTGAGAGAGAGAGAGCATGAACCAGGGGAGGGGCAGAGGGAGAGAGAGAGAATCCCAAGCAGGCTCCGCACTGTCAGCACAGAGCCTGATGCAGGGCTCCATTTCACAAACTTTGAGATCCTGACCTGAGCCGAAATCCAGAGTCGGAGGCTTGACTGACTGAGCCACCCAGACACCCCAAATAAAAATTTGGAACAAAAAAAATTAAGTGGGAAAAGTGGAGATTACAAGTACACATCCACAGAGTGAGTAAAGAGTAAAAGAAAATATATTAATGTATGAATGCAGTTTAACACACACACAAATACACACAAATAAAAGCATCACCTCAAGAAATTGTCTGGTGGTGAAAAACAAAGATGATTAAAGGATGGGAAAATGAGAACTTGACACGTTAAAGGACACATGGATTATCTTTCCTAGAGAAGAGATGATCAGAATCTTCAGGATTCTGAAGGGCTCTCAAATAGCAGTTTCCTTTCTCCATTAATAATAGAATGAGAAATGTTGCTATGTGAGAGATTTAGATTTAAAAATTGGTAAAGAATAGTTTCCTCATGAGGTGGGTTGATGGACTTTGGACTGAGTTACTTGAGAACAATTATAGGATTTTTTTCTACCTGTGAGAGCAAACTAAAAGAACAACAACAAAACAAAACCCCCAAACCAAACTCATGTGCTTGGATGCATTAAATGTGGTCCACTGTCTGGCAGAATTCTAGTGCTTTAGCTAAATGGCTGGGTTAGTGTGCTGGCAGTTTCTCATTTCCAACAGTGATAGTGACAGTTAATGCATTTGTGGAAAGTATATTGCTCCATTATAAAGGATACATCGAGGCAACAAGCCAAAACGTGAATCTCTGGCCTGCTTGGCTTTCTGAAGACAAATGAATTTTGTCTGCATGCAGCAAATGGAATTCATTGCTAAGTATTTATGTTTATGAATACAAACCAAACTGTATACAATTTCATTGTAGGTCTAGGGTAATTAATTAGTGGTTAATACAGTCAATAATATACTTACTCATTAGTCTATTCCTCTGTTAGGATGCTTAGAGAATAGGTCTACCTCTGTAACTGTCGGATAAATATGGATATCATTGCTCCTAGGAGTCTTGGGTCTTGTAGTTATGGGGAGAGAAGAGTTAGAAGTTTATCTGTTGAAGAAACATAGTACATAGTTGAACTGTGTGATATTAAAATGCATTAATTCTAAACTCCTACAATTCTGCTTATCAAGGAACATTGTTGTAGCTATTTTTCACTACTTGTCAAATAGAGATTTGGTAGATGGATCTCTCCCAGAGAGGGAAAATAATTGAGAGATCAGGTTCCTTGAGAATACCAAAGAATTAGTAAACTTTCAAAAAATAAAGGAAACATTTTCAAAACTGGAAATGTAAGACAATGTAAATACATGATTAGGAATTAATTTGATGAAAGTTTTTTTTCAGAAACTACTTTATTAAAGGATGAATAGAATGTACATTTCATGATGAATAATAAGAAACTGACTTTAATTACCCCATAATTTCACCTGGGCAAATCTCTTTTTCAATGGAATATTAATTGAAAATGGTATTAGTATAGGTTGAATGGCTGCTGAGATCATCTAACATCAGGGCAACTAGTTCAGTTACTTGTGAAGTCATCTTTATTGTTTTTTAATTTTTATTTACTTTTGAGAGAGAGAGAGAGAGAGTGGAGGAGGGGCAGAGATAGGGGGACAGAGGATCTGAAGCCAGCCACATGTGGAGCTCAAACCCACGAACCGTGAGATCATGATCTGAGCCGAAGTTGGACACTTAACTAATGAGCCACCCAGGTGCCCCTGAAGTCATCTTTAAAACGTGGACATGTTGTCTGATGAGAGAAACTGTGTAAATAAAGAGCTTACAGTTATTCAGACTTTCCTATTTTCAGGGAATAAATGAACTGTATGAAGAGGATATCTATATTTTCTGAGTTATACCTCAAGAACTTTTACATCATCTATAGAAAAGAATATATTTAGACAGATTCACAGTTTAGGGGAATAATCTAAAACTATGCCCGGGGTGCCTGGGTGGCTCAGTTGGTGAAGAGTCCAACTTTGGCTCAGGTCATGATCTCGTACTCTTTTTGAGTTCAAGTCCCACATCAGGGTCTGTGCTGACAGCTCAGAGCCTGGAGCTTGCTTCAGATTCTGTATCTCCCTCTCTCTCTGACCCTCTCCTGCTCACACTCTTGTGTGTCTCTCTCAAAAGTAAATAAACATTAAAAAAAATTAAAAAAACCAAAATTATTCTAATGTTCAGAAATTTTGTCAGATGTTGAATATCTTTAGATTCCAATTGTGCTTAGAATTATTTTGCTGTCAGCATGGTACATACAAGAGCATCAAATGGAATCAGGTGTCTTTAGTAAGTCTTCAGAATTTAAGACCTGCAGAAATTAAAATTTGAAAATGAAATATCTGATTGGAGCATTAAGCAAATAATTCATTTGATAATTTTCAGGTCATTTACTTTTGATAATTGATTTTTTTCAAAAAGACTTTAAAGTTACTACTTTAACAACAAAAGTGCTTGCACTTTGCTCCTCATTTCTTTTTGTAAGTGTATATAAAAGGAGAATGAATGTTTTGTGTTTATGGGCATCTAATTACTGTTTTGCAGTACGGCATGTTGCTTGCAAGTTGGTGTGTATGTGTGAAGGCTCAACTGCTTCAGAAGATGCTATTCGAAGACAGATTTTGGTAAGTCTGATTTAAATGAGGAGAAAGTGCAGATGTAATGAGATAGTCGTTACTCCTTATGAAGATGGTTAAAGTTAGTGTGAACCTGGAAGGGGGTTATATCCTTTAGTGCTATCCATGTTCCTTTTAGGATAATTATACCTATTACAATTAAAGGTCTCAGCAGTACTATTGTCATTACAGTGATTCAGTGGACTAAATGTTGAACTTAAATTCAGGATTTATGATAAGTAAAAAAAATAATAGTTCTCTGCTCCATCCTTCCCACCTGTCCTGCTCCCTGGAAGTAAGTATATTTTTTTAGTGGAAAATATTTTTCCAGTGTTGTAAAACACTATTTTATTGAAAAGCTCAAGTGTATGCACAAAGATAGTACAATGATTCCCCCATTTACCCATCGCTCAGCTAGAATAACCTCCAATTCCTGATCACTCATTTTTTCTATATCTCCTCCAACAGCAAATCCCTGGCCCTGTGGATTATTTTGAAACAAATCCAAAATACAGCACTTTGTTCATAAATATTTCAATATGTGTCTCTAAATGACAAGATGTCTTTAAAAATTTTTTTTAATGTTTTATTTTTATTTTTGACAGAGAGTATGAGTGGGGGAGGGGCAGAGAGAGAGAGGGAGACACAGAATCCAAAGAAGGCTCCAGGCTCTGAGCTTTCAGCACAGAGCCCGATGTGGGCCTTGAACTTCCAAACTGTGAGCTCATGACCTGACCCGAAGTCAGATGCTTAACCGACTGAGCTACCCAGGTGCCCCTAAGGTGTCTTTTTAAAACATTTTTTTAATGTTTATTTATTATTTTTGAGAGAGAAAGAGTGTGAGCAGGGGTAGGGCAGAGAGAGAGGGAGACAGAATCTGAAGCAGGCTCCAGGCTCTGAGCTGTGAGCCCAGAGCCTGCCGCAGGGCTCGAACTCACAAACCATGAGATCATGACCTGAGCTGAAGTCGGACGCTCAATCAACTGAGCCACCCAGGCGCCCCTAAGGTGTCTTTTTTATTCAGACAAACCCAATGCCCATTATCACACCTGCTAAAATTTAACAAAGATTTCCTAAAATAATCAAATATCCAGTCTTCCCCTTCTGGCTGTATGCGCTCCCACATTCTTACTTTCTCATTTGTTCTTGCTCACTTCTTTCTCTCCCTCTTTCCCGTTGTTTTCTTAGAACCAGAATTAAAGAAAGTCCACATCTTGTGTTTTGTTAATATGTCTCTTTTAATCTACATGTTTCCCCTCCTGTTTTTAATCTGTTGAAAAATTTATTTGTTGAAGAAACGAGATTGTTGGTACTATAGAGTTTCTTAAATTCTGGATTCCGATGACTGTATCCTTATGGTGTCATTTAATATAGTCCTCTGTTCCCTGTTTTTCCTGTAAACTGGCAGGTAGATTTAGAAACTTGATCTGATTCAGGTTTGATTTTGTCAAAAATAATTCATAGGCAATATGGTGTACTTCCATCAGGAAGCACCAATGTCTGTTTGTCTCTTTTGTGTTAGTGCCCTTTGACGATTATTGTCCTTAGATCCATTATTTCTGTAGGTGTTTGCATATTCTACTTCTGTATTCCTTCTTTGTTTATTTACTGGAATAGAGAGAAACTTTCCCTCATCAACTATTTGGCTACCTTGAAGTATACCTTTATAAGAAAGGGCGGTCTTGACTCTTTCCCTTTATTTAGCAGTTTTCAGAACAATGACTTATTTCTCTAACATCCTTAAATGATACTCACATAGATTTTTTAAAAGTTTCGTTGTGAACTCATGGATTTTTAACATTTTTAATGCATTTCAATCCATTGTAATTATTCTTATTGAAGCACCTATCTTTGGCCAGAAGGAGCCTCTGGAAGTGATTCTGAAGCCTTTTGACACTACTCCAGTAATCTTTAATAGTAAAACTGAAATAATAATCACATAAAATTTGATTTCTTTTTAAAAAATTTTTATTTATTTTTGAGAGAGTGACAGCACGAGTCAGAGAGGGGCAGAGAGAGAGGGAGACACAGAATTCGAAACAGGCTCCAGGCTCTGAGCTGTCAGCACAGAGCCCGTCGCGGGGCTCAAACCCACAAACTGCAATATCATGACCTGACCTGATGTCGGACACTTACCCGACTGAGCCACCCAGGCTCCCTTAAAATTTGATTTCTAATGTGACAAGATGTCCAGGCTCATCTTGTGTAGTTCTTGCCCTAGAGCAGAAATTATTCATTCTTTGAAGGAGCCCTGTTTCCTTTTAGTGGAGAATGTTATTTAGAAACCACAATCTGGAAATTACAAGTGCTCATTGCTATTGCATTGGTCATTGTTCCTAGACCTTTTTACTGGACATAGATATGAAATACATATTTTTTGAAAGGGAAAATATATGATGAATTCATAGTGATATTTCCAGTGATATTTAGGATTATAGGATTTTACTTAGCTTCTTAATTTTATATTTGTGTCTCTTTTCCTAGTCCTGACGATATTGGTGCCTAACAACATTAATATAGTGAATAACTGGTTTTATCCAAAAAATGTATGGTAGTTTTATAAGATAGCAATGTCGATAATAAAGAATGATTTCTAAAAATAGTTCAATAGATTTTTTTGCACTGCTTTTATTCTTAGGATCTGTTTCACTAGGGGTGTATAGTCAAAGTATTGTTTTAATATTATTGAAATATTGTTTTAAAAGTACTTGAAATAATTTCCTTTTCTGTGATGAAACTAGATTCACTTGATTCATAGTTAGATTCATTTATTTTTGTTTGCTCTTGCTTTTTAGCTGTTGCTTTTTTTCTGCCATTTTGATTGAATATTGTTTTATAATTGTGTCAAATATTTACATGGTTCCAAAGTCGAATCTACTAAGGGAAGTATATTCAGTTAAGTCTAGCCTCCATCTGTGTCCTCTCCACCCTGTTCCCTCCCTTCCCCTGTGGATAGCTATTTTTGTTTATTTTATTGTTTATCCTTTTGTTTTTTAAATAAAAGCAAACATTTGTTTTATAAAAATAAAATTTTCCCCTCCCCCAAAGGTTCTTAGATAAATAGTAAGTAGCATTCCATATATATACTTTTCTCCACTTTTTTTTTTTACCTCATTTAACATTATAGCCTAGAGATCACTCCATAGCAGTATGTAGAGATATTCCTCATTTTTTTTTATAGCTACATAGTATTCGGTTGGTACATGTACCTTATTGTGTTCAACCAGCTTCCTTCCATGGACATTTCAGTGCTGCAATGAATTGCCTTGTACATACGGGTTTTTTTTTTCTTCCTATTTTAAGGCTATTACTTGTAATCATTTCTGTTTTCATTTCTCATGGTTACCTCAATATATTTTATTTTATTTTCTTAAATTTTTTTTAAAGTTCATTTATTTATTTTTGAGAGAGAGAGAGATAGGTGGAGCAGAGAGGGAGAGAGAGAATTCCAAATAGGCTCTACATTGTTAGTGCAGAGCCTGACGCAGGGCTCGATCTCACAAACTGTGAGATCATGACCTGAGCTGAAATCAAGAGTCTGACACTTAACCGACTGAGCCACCCAGGCGCCCCTACCTCCATATATTTTAATCATATGCTAGTATCACTATATTAGTTTTCTAGGGCCTCCATAACAAAATAACATAGACTGGGTGGCTTAAACAATGCACATTTATTTTTTCACAATTCTGGAGGCTGGACATCCAAGATCAAGGTGTGGGTAGGTTTGATTTCTTCTGAAGCATTGGGCTCTGCACTGACAGCACAGAGCCTGCTTGGGTTTTTCTCCATCTCTCTGCTCCTTTCTCTCCCTCTCTCTCCCCAAATAAACAAACAGTTAAAAAAGCTTTAAAAAAATGATATTTCCCTATTTCTATCTGTTAGTTCTTTTAATTCTATTTCTTCAGATATTCTTCTGTTTGTTGAGTGTGATGTCCTTTCATGGGGTTGGTTTCCCTCAAGGGTTTGATGATTCTTGCTCATATTTGATTTGAGATTCCTTGATAGTTTAATAGTCATGCTATTTATTATAATCCTGATCCAGTGACTGATGGAGAAGTAGGACTGGATGTTTTGCTGGAACTCTATTTTTCTCCAGCCTATGTGATTGTACTCACTGTTCCTTCCTGGGGAGGAGAGAAGATGCCTCTTGGTGGGGAAGCCAACTGCCTGATACTACTGTTTACATCCAGGATGTTTCCACATTTTGCATTTTTATACATTTTAGTATGTGGGTTTTTGTTTCACCCCATTTGCTGTCTATTTTTCAGAGGTTCCTTATAATTTCAGGTCAACTGAAAATGCCACTTATTTTCCAGGACTCTTATTGAATAAGAAAAAATATATTTTCTCTTATTTCTAGGGTGTATCCCTAGAGATTATATTTATCATTACAAATATATGATATGACATATGTAATCTAGGGATTTATAGTATATAAAAATTTACACTAAAGTTTATAGTGTACTTATGTCCTATATATAAATATATAGGAAAATGTGTAGTATATCTATTATATATATTTTATATACACATACACATCATTTCTAGGGATTTGTGGTAGAAGGGGTAGGGCTGCAGTGTTTGCTCAATCCTCCATCTTGATTCAGTTCTTGTTTGCTTCCATAGCATTTTTCCATATTATACATCAACTATTTAGATGTCTGTTAGTTACGATATCGTGAGCTTCTTTAGTGTGCCTGGCTTGTAAAGGATACTTAATAAACATTGTTGGATTAGTAAAAATTTTATTAGAGATATAATTAAGAACTGAACTGAGATGTGTTGACTTATAGTCTAGTGCTTATCATATAACTTTCTTCAAGTATGTGAAACATTAATTTTTCAGAAATGTCTGCTCCTAAGTTATCCCAATGTTTTCTTTTAATATTTCTTAGAAGATGTGTTTTCAAATTATTAATTTTTTATTATTGCTTTTCTTGAGACCATTTCTATTAAATTATGGAATTCAAAGCAGAACATAGAACTATAATAAATGCTGTTACTTTATTTTTGTGGATTACACTACTGAATATGGACAGACGATTAAATATTTTATCTACTACCTTCCTCAACCAGTTTGGAGAAGTTGTGAATTTTAAAAATTATTTTCTTACTTCTCTCTTCCAGATGAATATGAAAACAGGAAAAGGGTGGGTGGATGTTGGAAATGCTATGATGGCTGATGGATTTTTTCAAGCTGCCATTGTTGTAAGTTACTGATTTTTAGCTGTGGCCATTATTAGTAACAGTTGTGGTTATTCTTGTCATGACATTGTATTGTGATTTTATTTTCCAGGGTCTAGAGCAGTTATATTGCAAATTAATGCAGAGAGCCTCCACTGAGGCCGACATAACTTTGCAGAAGAGTGCTTTGGAGAGGGACCTTTTCAAAGTGGTTTCTTACCAAGCAGAGGCGGTAGGTATCATAGTCACTACAGTCTTATAGTGGTGCATTTTGTATATATAAATGCAAAAGTGATGAGATATAACTTATTAGAAGAAAGTCAGGTGTCATTGGATTTTTATATAGGATATTATATTTGACCTTTTATTTTATCTTTGTTTTATATCTGAAGGTAACATTATTAATGGTGATTGGTATCTGTGTGGGGGTGGTTGAAGTTAGAAAGGCTGATATATAACTAAACATCGTTTTCAATCATTGCATGTAATATCCATCATTTATTTATGGCAGTAGCCTGTACTTGAAATACTTGTTTGTGACTCTCTCTTACCTTCACAGTCTGCCTAAAATAATTGCCTGAAAAGAGTCTTCTCATTTGCAATTGTTCTGGGTTGTTTGCTGATGTTTTCTGAAAGTCTGCTGTTATCAGTGTTTAAAGTTGTATGTTACCTCTGTTTGGCTTGTGGATTTCCTCCTTTGTCACCATGCAGTTAGGTATGCATTTTTAGTTGACAAAATGTAAGCCACGATGAGTTTGCTGTCTGTAATTATGTAATTCTAGAAATGAAAGAGACTTTTTTTTTTCAACGTTTTTATTTATTTTTGGGACAGAGAGAGACAGAGCATGAACGGGGGAGGGGCAGAGAGAGAGGGAGACACAGAATCAGAAACAGGCTCCAGGCTCTGAGCCATCAGCCCAGAGCCTGACGCGGGGCTCGAACTCACGGACCGCGAGATCGTGACCTGGCTGAAGTCGGACGCTTAACCGACTGCGCCACCCAGGTGCCCCTGAAAGAGACTTTAAAAATCATCTAATATAATCCACTTATTTTTATTTTTTTAACATCTTTATTGAGATATAATTCATATACTATAAAATTCACACATTTAAAATGTACAATTCAGTGATTTAAGTATATTCACAGAATTATGCAACCTTTACCACAATCAAGCCAGCAGAGGGAAGGAAATAATAAAGATTACAGCAGAAATTGGGGCGCCTCTTTGTAGCAACATGGATGGAACTGGAGAGTGTTATTATGCTAAGTGAAATAAGCCATACAGAGAAAGAGATACCATATGTTTTCACTCTTATGTGGATCCTGAGAAACTTAACAGAAACCCATGGGGGAGGGGAAGGAAATTAAAAAAAGGAGATTAGAGTGGGACAGAGCCAAAGCGTAAGAGACTGTTAAAAACTGAGAACAAACTGAGGGTTGATGGGGGGTGGGAGGGAGGGGAGGGAGGGTGATGGGTATTGAGGAAGGCACCTTTTGGGATGAGCACTGGGTGTTGTATGGAAACCAGTTTGACAATAAACTTCATATATTGAAAGGAAAAAAAAAAGAAAGAAATTGGGGCACCTGGGTGACTCAGTCTGGTTAAGCGTCTGACTTCGGCTGAGGTCATGATCTCATGATTAGTGGGTTTGAGCCCGTGTCGGGCTCTGTGCTGATAGCTCCGATAGCCCGGATTCTCTGTCTCCCTCTTTCTCTGCCCTTCCCCTGCTCATACTCTGTCTATCTTCCTCAAAATAAACATTTAAAAAATTTAAAAAAAAGATTAGAGCAGAAATAAATGATTTAGAAACTAAAACAAATAGAACTGATCAATGAACCCAGGAGCTGATTCTTTGAAAAAAATTAATAAAATTGATAAACCTCTAGCCAGACTTATCAAAAAGAAAAGGACCCAGGGGTGCCTGGGTGGCTCAGTCGGTTAAGTATCCTTCGGCACAGATCATGATCTCTCAGTGAGTTTGAGCCCTGCCTTGGGCTCTGTGCTGGTTTTGTGGAGCCTGCTTGGGATTCTCTCTTTCTCCCTCTCTCTCTGCCCCTTCCCCACTTGTGCTCTCTCTCTCAAAATAAATAAACAAAAAATGATAAAAAAATAATTTAAAAAAATAATAAAAAGGGCCCAAATAAAACCACGAAAGAAAACCAACACCACAAAAATACAATTATGAGAGAATATTATGAAAAACTATGTGCCAACAAATTGGACAATCTGGAAGAAATGGATATATTGCTAGAAACATATAAGCTACCAAAACCGAAACAGGAAAAATAGAAAAATTGAACATACCGATAACCAGCAAAGAAATTGAATCAGTAGTCAAAAACCTCCCAACAAACAAAAGTCCAGGGCCAGATGGCCTCACAGGGGAATTCTACCAAATATTTAAAGAAGAGTTAATAGGGATGCCTGGCTGGTTCAGTCAGTGAAACATGCGAATCTTGATCTCAGGGTTGTAAGTTCAAGCCCCATGTTGGGAGGAAAGATTACTTAAAAGTAAAAATTTTTTTAATGTGAAAAGTAAGAGGATTTTATTAACTTTTGTATGTTCTTGGGGAAAACCATTCACATGTAAAAGTTTAACATTTGTTATAAGATATATTCAGCCCTATTTTACACAAAGTTTTTCATTTGGGTTGGACATAATTTTTCATTTCAACAGGACTGCCATGATTATAGTGAGAAGCTCTTGAGATAATTGCATCATCATAGGGGTCAAGATAAACTGGTAGGGATTTTACTCATATCTGTTATTCAATTGCTGTGGTATAATGGAATATATGCTATAAAGTAGATACAGAAGAAGCTATCCATAAAAAACGTATAAAACACAGGTAAAGAAAATATGCAAATTATAGTATTGCATATGTATTTTAATTAATGGAACTAACATTTTTAACTCACATGGTCTTTTATGTGATATAAATGTAACAAGGGAGGATGCTTTTAAAGTCCTTTTTTTCTTTATAAATTTTTTATTTAAATTCTAGTTAGTTAACATATAGTGTAACATTGTTTACAGGTGTAGAATTTAGTAGTAGTGATTCATCGCTTATATGTAACACCCAATGCTCAACACAATAAGTGTCCTCCTTAATACCCATCACACATTTAGCCCATACCCCACATACTACCTTCCATCAATCCTCAGTTTGTTTTCTATCATAAAGAGTCTTTTATGGTTGTTTCCCTCTCTTTTTTTCCCCTTTTCATATGTTCATCTGTTTTGTTTCTTAAATTCCACATATGAGTGAAATCATACAGTTGTCCCAGCCCCATTTGTTGAAAAGACTATTCTTTCCCTATTGAATGATCTTGGCACCCTTGTCAAAAATCAATTGATCGTAAATGTGAGGGTTTATTTCTGGACTCTTGATTACTTTTCATTGATCTATATGTCTGTTTTGCTTCCGTTCCCTTCCCCCCTTTACTAGGGTAGGACCACTTGTAGACTCTGGCCGGGTCACATGGATATAGGAAACATGAGTTTATCCATAAAAACTGATGGAGGGTACCCTGACAATGCAAAGCAAGTGGAAAGCCCAGTTTCTCTATTATACCAAGGGCTGTGGTCTACTGTCTCTCTCTACTAGTTAAAAAAGTAGTAATGGGGTGCCTGGATGTCTCAGTCAGTTGAGTGTTTGACTCTTGATTTCGACTCAGTTCGTGATCCCAGCATTGTGGGATTAAGCCCTGTGTTGGGCTCCAGCTGGGCATGGAACCTGCTTGAGATTCTCTCTCTTGGGCACCTGGGTGGCTCAGTCATTAAGCATCTGACTTTGTGAGTTCGAGTCCCACATCGGGGGTGAGCTCGAGCCCTCCTTCAGGTGAGCACAAGCCCCACTTTGGGTGAGCATGAGCCCTGCTTCGGGTGAGCTGAATTAGCTACTTCTATTTTCACATATCACTGTTTTTACTGGAAAGAGTGACTGATAGATAAATTGTGTTCATTCAGATTTGGGTATTTGGTATAAATTTTCATTAAAAAATTTTTTTTAATGTTTATTTTTGAGACAGAAAGAGACAGAGTGTGAGCGGGGCAGGGGCAGAGAGAAAGGGAGATAGAATCCAGAGCAGGCTCCAGGCTCTGAGCAAGTTGTCAGCACAGAGCCTGACACAGGGCTCGAACTCACAAACCGCGAGATCATGATCTGAGCCGAAGTCAGACGCTTAACCAACTGAGCCACCCAGGCGCTCCAGCATGTATTTTCATTAAAATGAATAAAGTGAGAACGTGACTTCAAGGAAAGCAACCGACAGTACTTGTTGATGGGGATAAAATTTAAGCTTTTAAGTAAAAGTTAGAATTTTGGAAAACTTCTACCTCCATCATGAATTTGACAGCTTCCAGATACTTAAACTTTTCTGATGAAATTGATATTAACTAATGTGATTAAAAAATTTTTTTCTTAGAAGACCTTTCTTTTTAAAAAATTTTTTTATTTATTTTGAGAGAGAGAGAGTGAGCAGTGGAGGGGCAGAGAGAGAGGGAGAGAGAGAATCCCAAGCAGCCTCCATGCTGTCAGCACAGAGCCTGATTGTGGGGCTTGAACTCACCAACTGTGAGATCATGACCTCAGCTGAAATCAAGAGTTGGATGCTTAAACTGACTGAACCACCCAGGTGCCCCTAAATTTTTTTTTTACTTTGAAATAATTTTAGATTCACAGGAAGTTGCAAAAACAGTAAGGAGAGTTCTGGTGTACCTTTCACCCAGTTTTCCTCAGTGGTAATGTCTTATGTAAATATAGTGCATTATAAAACCAGGAAATTGACATTATTACAATCCATAGGCCATATTCATATTTCACCAGTGTTACATGATAAACTTCTATGTGTGTCTGTAGTTCTATACAGTTTTATCCCATGGATAGATTCATATAACCACCAACAACACAATCAAGATCTAGAACAATTCCATCACCACAAAGATCCCTTGTGCTTCCTCTTTGTAGTTATATCATGTGCATTCCCCCATTCCCAAATCCCATCAGCTAATATTCTCTCTCCCAGTAGCTAATTCTCTATATTAATATCATAGAATATTAATATTCTAAAATTTTGTCACTTGGGATTATATAAATAGAATCATATAGTATGTAACCTTTTGATATTGCTCTTTTAAAAGTTAGCATGATTTATTTGACATCCATCCAAGTTTTGTGTATCAATAGTTTGTTCTTTACGGGTACTTGAGTGGCTCAGTTGGTTAAGTGTCCAACATCAGCTCAGGTCATGATCTTGTGGCTCATGAGTTCGAGCCCCACATTGGGCTCTGTGCTGACAGCTCAAAGCCTGGAACCTGCTTCGAATTGTCTTCCTCTCTCTATGCCCCTCCCCTATTCACACTCTGTCTCTCTCTCTCCCTCAAAAATAAATAAACATTAAAAAAAGTTTTGTTCTTTATTTGTAAGTAGTATTCTATGGTATGGATGTACCACAGTTTGTCTAGCCATTCAGTATGGAAGGCATTTGGGTTTCTCCAGTTTTTGGCTATTACAAATAAAGTCGGTTAGAACATTTGTGTAGGTTTGTATGTGGATGTAAATTTTCAATTCTATGGGATGAATGCCCAGCATTGCAATTGCTCGGTTGAATTGTTAGTGTATGTGTATTAGTTTGTTTTTTAAGAAAGGACCAAACTATTTTCTAGAGTGGCTGTGCCATTTTATTTTATTTTATTTTATTTTATTTTATTTTATTTATTTTTTAAATGTTTATTTTTGAGAGAGAGAGAGAGAGAGAGCATGAAAGTGGGGGAGAGGGGCAGCAAGAAGGGAAGACAGAGGATCTGAAGCAGGCTGCATGCTCTAAGCTGTCAGCAGAGTCCGCCACAGGACTCAACGAACCGCAAGATTCTGACCTGAGCAGAGGTCAGTCGCTCAACTGACTGAGCCACTCAGGTGCCCTGAATGGCTGTGCCATTTTAAACCCATGAGCAATATATGGAAGATCCCATTTTTTGCATCCTTGCCAGCATTTGGTATTGTGACTAATTATATTACTTATTCCATTAGATGTCTAGTGATATTTCATCATGGTTTAATTTGTAGTTCCCTAATGACTAATGTTGAATATTTTTTCATGTACCTATTTGCTCTCTGTATATTCTCTTAAGTGAAATGTAGGTTCGTGCTTCTTATCCATTTTCTAATTGGATTATTTGATTTTTTTATTGTTGAATTTTGCGAATTATATATTCTACATTTGAGTCCTTTGTTGTATATGTATTTATAAATATTTTCTAGTCTGCAGCTTGTCTTTTCATCCTTTTAATAGGGTTGCAGAGCAAAAGTATTTAATTTTGATAAAGTTTAGTTGATTTTTTACAATGGATTGTGCTTCTGGTATTCTGTCTCAAAAGCCTTCACCAAGCTCTAGATCTGAAAGATTTTCTCCTCTGTTTTTTTCTAAAAGTCTATAGCTTTGGGGCACCTGGGTGACTCAGTTGGTTAAGTGTCTGACTCTTGGTTTTGGCTTAGGTCATGTTCTCACAGTTTGTGGGTTCCAGCCTCACGTCAGGCTCTGTGTTGCCAGTGCAGATCCTGCTTGGGATTTTCTCTCTTTCTCTCCCTCTCTGTCTGCCCCTCCCGTGCTCGCTCTCTCTCTCTCTCTCTCTCTCTCTCTCTCTCTCAATAAATAAACTTTAAAAAAATAGAAAAACCACCTTAAAAAAAGTTCTATAGCTTTACCTTTTCCATTTAAATCTATGATTGATTTTGAGTTACTTTTTTTTTTATAAGGAGTGAGGCTTAGATTAACTCTTTTTGTTGTCATTGTTTATGGATATCTAATTGCTCCAGTACCATTAGTTGAAAAGACTATCCTTCCACTACTGAATTTCTTTGCACATTTGTTAAATATCAATTCACCACACTTATTTATCTGGGTGTATCTATTTCTGGGATCTCTTTTAAATCTATGGATCTATTCTTTCAATACCAAATAGTTTTGATTATTGTGGCTATCAAGTTTTAAAGTTTAGTATGGAGATTCTTTCAATTTTATTGTTTATCAGAATTGTTTAATTCTAGTCTAATTCCTTTGCCTTTACACATAAATTTTATTTTTTATTTTTTTGTATTCATCATTTTTTTATTTATAATGGGCCAAAAATGTAAGCATTTTACAAAGTGAAATTACTATCACAGGTAATTATAGCACATCTATATTTGAAGGATATTTCAGCCATTAAAATATCTGTACAAAGTTTTTTTAAAATTTAATTTAATTTTTTTAAATTTACATCCAAATTAGTTAGCATATGGTGCAACCATGATTTTAGGAGTATGTTCCTTAGTGCCCCTTACCCATTTATCCCATCCCCACTCCCACAACCCCTCCCGTAACCCTCAGTTTATTCTCCATATTATGAGACTCTTCTGTTTTGTTCCCCTCCCTGTTTTTATATTATTTTTGTTTCCCTTGCCTTATGTTCATCTGTTTTGTCTCTTAAAGTCCTCATATGAGTGAAGTCATATGATTTTTGTCTTTCTCTGACTAATTTCACTTAGCATAGTACCCTCCAGTTCCATCCATGTAGTTGCAAATGGCAAGATTTCATTCTTTTTGATTGCTGAGTAATACTCCATTGTGTACATATATATATATATATATATATATATATATATACCACATCTTCCTTATCCATTCATCCATCGATGGACATTTGGGCTCTTTCCATACTTTGGCTATTGTTCATAGTGCTGCTATAAACATGGGGGTGCATGTGTCCCTTTGAAACAGTATACCTATATCCCTTGGATAAATGCCTAGTAGTGCCATTGCTGGGTCATAGGGTAGTTTTATTTTTAGTTTTTTGAGGAACCTCCATACTGTTTTCCAGAGTGGCTGCACCAGCTTGCATTCCCACCACCAATGCAAAAGAGATGCTCTTTCTCCACATCCTTGCCAACATCTGTTGTTGCCTGAGTTGTTAATGTTAGCCATTCTGACAGGTGTAAGGTGGTATCTCATTGTGGTTTTGATTTGTATTTCCCTGATGATAATTGATGTTGAGCACTTTTTCATGTGTCAGTTGGCCATCTGGATGTCTTCTTTTGAGAAGTGTCTATTCATGTCTTTTGCCCATTTCTTGACTGGATTATTTGTTTTTTGGGTGTTGAGTTTGATAAGTTCTTTGTAGATTTTGGATACTAACCCTTTATTTGATATGTCATTTGCAAATACCTTCTCCCATTCTGTCAGCTTTGCTGTGCAGAAGCTTTTTATTTTGATGAGGTCCTAGTAGTTCATTTTTGCTTTTGTTTCCCTTGCCTCCGGAGACGTGTTCAGTAAGAAGTTGCTGCGGCCAAGATCAAAGAGGTTTTTGCCTACACATGAATTTTAGAATAATATTATATACATTCACAAAAATATTGTCTACATTTACCAAAAAATCTTTTTCTGGAATTATGATGGGAGTTGTGTGAAGTCTGTATATCAATTTGGGGAGAATTTACATCTATTAATTTTTTGTTTTTGTTGCTTGAGCCTTAGTTTTCATATTTAAGAAATCATCACCTAACATGAGGTCATGAAGATTTAATGCTCCTGTATTTTAATCTAAGAATTTTATAGTTTTTAGCTTTTATATTTGAATCCATGATCCATTTTTAGTCAGTTTTTCATATGGTGTGAGGTAGGTATCCTACTTCATTCTTTAGCATTGGGTATCCAGTGCCAGCATCACTGTTTTTAAAAGACAATTTTTGCTCATTGAATTGTCTTTGCACTCTTATAAAAAGTCATTTGATCTTAAATGTAAGGATTTATATCTGGACTCTGTTTTATTCCATTGACTTATACGTCCCTTGTCACTACCAATCTCGATTACTGTAGCCTTGTGGTAAGTTTTGAAATTGGGAAGAATGAGCCCTGCAACTTTGCTCTTCATTTTATTTTTTAATTTTTAATTATTATTTAATGTTTATTTATTTATTTTGAGAGAACACATGTGCATGTGAACCAGGGAGAGGCAGAGAGAGAGGGAGAGAGAGATATTTACAGCAGTTCAGACTGTGAGGTTATTAGGAGCCTATTTTAGGACAAAAAGCTCCTATTTAACATTTAAAAATCCCTCTAGGGATGCTTGTCTGCCCAACTCTTTTTTTTTATTAAAAAAATTTTTTTTAATGTTTATTCATTTATTTATTTAATTTTTTTTTAATTTTTTTTTTATTTATTTTTGAGACAGAGAGAGACAGAGCATGAACGGGGGAGGGTCAGAGAGAGAGGGAGACACAGAATCGGAAGCAGGCTCCAGGCTCTGAGCCATCAGCCCAGAGCCCAACGCGGGGCTCAAACCCACAGACCGCGAGATCGTGACCTGAGCCGAAGTCGGACGCTTAACCGACTGAGCCACCCAGGCGCCCTTAATGTTTATTTATTTTTGAGAGACAGAGCACAATTGGGGAAGGAACAGAGAGAGAGGAAGACACAGAATCTGAATCAGGCTCCAGGCTCCAAGCTGTCAGCACAGAGCCCAACGCAGGGCTCAAACTTACGGACAGGACCGTGAGATCAGGACCTGAGCCAAAGTTGGCACTTAACTGACTGAGCCACCCAGGCGCCCCTACCCAACTCTTGATTTCATGGACTGAGGTCATGATCCCAGGGTCGTGGGATTGAGCCCTGCATTAGGCTTGTACTAAGCGTAGAGCCTGCTTGGGATTCTTTCTCCCTCTCTCTGTCTTTCTCTCTCTGTCTTTCTCTCTCTTCCTCTGCCTCTCTCCCTTGCTCATGCTCATGCATGTGCATTCTCTCTCTAAAATAATAAATAAGTAAATAAATAAAAATTAAAAAATATTAAAAATCCCTCTAATGTGGAGATGAATGCAAGAGCTATTCAAGCTGGGTAAACATCTATTAGACATGGCATAATATCATAATATGATATAAGATTGTACACCAGTTTTGCCATTTCCAGAACAAAGTAAATGACTCCCATTCACTGTCAACTCGTGTTACCCAGGATTATTTTTATTTTTCTGTATTTAGAGCTGGCTATTGTGTGTAGTTAGACCAACCAGTGTTGCTAAAAAGACTAGGAAACAAATTAAGACTTTTTAACTCCAGTTACAAATATGTTAAATTGACTTATAGACAAATAGCTTGTCATTTTATTTTAACCAATTATTGATGTTTTTCCACTTTCCCAGGCAATTGCTCTAGGGGATTTTCAAAGAGCATCTTCATGTTCACTGCGCTGTAAGGATATGTTGATAAGGCTCCCCAAAATGGTGAGTGAAATCTGCATTTATTCTCCAAGAGTTTGAACATGAGCTATATCAAGTTCTAGGAAGAATCATTACTACTTCATGCAAACTTTTAGAGATTGTATTTGAGTCCATTCCACTTACTTACCTGATCTTTGAAATATTTTCTTTGTTCTTTACTAGAAAGGGGGTGTAAAAAAGCAAAAGGTTATTTCTTAAAATTTCTTTGCTTTCCTTTTTTGTCAAACCATTTTGATAATATTTCCTTCATATTTCAAGTTCTGTGATGAACAAAATGAAAAAAAAAAAGAGTTTTTTTTCCCTGCTGGCAAGGTTGACAACAGTTAGTCATATCACTGCCATAGTGTTTTTCTATTTTGGGTTGTGGAAGTGTGAGAAATTTGATAGGGTGAATAAAGCCTACTTCCCAGACCAGTTCTCATCACAGTTCCAGGGTTGAAAAAAAATCCAAGGTTGATAAGTTTTAATTTTTCAACTTCATCTCCTATTCTTATCCTGTTCTTTTTCTTTTCTCACTGACTATGTTTACTTCATTCTCTACTATCATAGAGGGAATTGATAACAAAGATATATTTGGATATTGGGGTGAATGTTCCTACTTGTGAGATTGGTGTTACTTTCCCCCAAATACTCTGTTATAATATAGAACTTAATTTAGTAAATATTTACATATTGCCAGTTATATGATTGTGCTATCCCCTGTGCACCTCTCTCTCTCTTTCTCCTTTTTCTCTCTCTGTCTCTTCTTTTTGTCCATGACCAGGGCTCCATCCCCTCTGCAACGTCTGCAGCTGTTCATCCCCCAAACCATGTCTCTGCATCTCCTACCTTCCACGATGTGGCCTCTTCTCTCCCTGTAGTTGTGCAGTTTGTTCTGTCAGTCCTCAGATTGATTTATTGGGTATTCATAATGATTTTATACTTATCTAGCTGTGTTCAAGGGATGAGGCAAGCCTAGGGTCCTCCTACTACTCTGTCATCTTAGCTCCTTATTAGCTTTAATACTATACATAAACTCTGTTACTATACATCTGTGTTCACAAATGACATATATTTTGTGCCCAATAGATTTATACTTATTTTTAAACATATTTTCCCTTTATATCATATAGAAAAAAAGATTTATAAATTGAAACTACAATAATACTTTTATATTTACCTAGTTACTTTTATCAGTTTAAAATATTTTTATTTTAAAGTATATTTATTTATTTATTTTGAGAGAGAGAGAGAGAGAATAACAGTGCGAGTGGGATAGTGGGATAGGGGCAGTGAGACAGAGAATCCCAAGCAGGCTCTGCAGAGCCTGATGGGGGGCTTGAACTCACCAATCGTGGGATCATGACCTGAGCCAAAATCAAGAGTCGGACGTTTAACTGACTGAGCCATCCAGGTGCCCCAAACCTAGTATGGTCTTCTCTAATTTTTTTTAATGTTTATTTATTTTTGAGAGAGAGAGAGAGAGAGAGAGAGAGAGAGAGAGAGAGAGAGACAGTGGGCGAGCAGGGGAGGGCCAGAGAGAGAGGGAGACACAGAATCTGAAGCAGGCTTCAGGCTGTCAGCTGTCAGCACAGAGCCTGACATGGGGCTCAAACCCACGAACTGTGAGATCATGACCTGAGCTGAAGTCTGATGCTTTACCGACTGAGCCACCCAGGCACCCCTAACCTAGTATAATCTTAATAGGACAGGTCCTACTTTGTTCTTTTTCACCATTGTTGTAGCTTTTCTAAGACTTGAGACTTCCATATTCATTTTAGAGACAGTTTGTTAAGTTTGGTGAAAAACTATTGGGATGTTGATTGAAATAGTTGATTAAATTAATTTGGAGAGCATCACTATCTATATAATATTGAGTTTTCCTATCCTTGACTGATAAATCCTAACTTATATAATTTTCTTTAATGTGTCTCAACATAGTTTTGTAATTTTCTACATAAAGATATTTCATATTCATTTGCTATCATAAGTGATATCTTAAATATTATATTCTTAAATTGATTGTCATTGATGTGTAAGAATGAAGCTGCTTTTGATATCCAGCAACTTTTCTGAACTCTAATTAATTAAAAACTTTTTTCTGTAAAATCTCTTGGATTGTTTGCATTTTAATGTTTTTACCATCTCTTTCTTTTGGCTCTGGTTCTGTTGCTATCTATTTCACATTATAATTTGCTTTAAGTCAGAGACCTTTCTTTAATATGCTTTGGAGAGTAAACGGACACTGAATAGTATATTGAAGATATGAAAGGAGACTCTTAGGTGGTGTTTAGGAAAAGAAAGTTTTTGGTATCTTGCGAAGTGTCAGAGGTGATAAAGGGAAAAGCACATGCAGAGAGAGAGGAAAGGGCTGAATTAGAAGATCTAGTATATATAATACAAGAGTAATTATGCCTTTGTCAGGATGGGGCTACTAGTAAATGACCTTTAATTCTAGAGTTCAGAGTTTGTATTTTATGTGGAAGGTGGTTGATAGAATTATATTGTTAGGACACTAACAGTTTTAATTTTTTGAAGCTTATTTATTTATTTTGAGACAGAGAGAGAGAGAGAGAGAGAGAGAGAGAGAGAGAGAACAAGTGGGGAAGAGAGGCAGAGGAGAAAAGAGAATCCCAAGTAGGCTGCATGCTCATGGAACCTTACATGGGACTCAGTCCCACAACCCTGGGATCATGACCTGAGCTGAAATCAAGAGTCAGATCTTCAACTGACTGAGCCACCCAGGCATCCCAGGACACTAACAATTTTAAAGGTCAATGAAATTATGTAGTGTGTGTGTTTTTTTTTTTAACATTTATTTATTTTTGAGACAGAGAGACAGAGCATGAATGGGGGAGGGTCAGAGAGAGGGAGACACAGAATCTGAAACAGGCTCCAGGCTCTGAGCTGTCAGCACAGGGCCCGACGCGGGGCTTGAACCCACGGACCGTGAGATCATGACCTGAGCCGAAGTCGGCCGCCCAACCGACTGAGCCGCCCAGGCGCCCCTATGTAGTGTGTTTTTGATGGGCTTAAGGTTTAGACGGGACTTGAAAATCTAGAGCAGAAAATCTTATGAGAGGAAATGATCAGATACAGGTTAGAGAAGAGCTAACATAAAGTTATTCGCTTAAAAGGAATTAATGAATTAAATAAACCAATCCTCTTTTTCTGAGACATCCTTCCTGTATGCAAAAACTGGGTTAGGAATTACTGTAAAGTGTTAACATGAAGGCAGAAGGTGATTCTGTATTGGTTCAGCAGAGAAATTAAGTGTTTGGAAAATTGTGTCTTAGGGTACAAGAGAAGTAACTAATGACCTATTGTTGGTTATTATTGAGCTATCTGAGGATTAAAGAAAGCTAAGTCAGGGAGGGATTGGAAGGTAAATGTCTTAAAGCCATTAAGGAAGAAAGCCAGGCAATTATCATTCAATTATTGCTACACCGTTATAATTGAACAAAATTAAAAAATACATGATCTATAAATGTATAAAACATAACAGAATCACAAAGAAAATAGCTTGGAACTTGGGACTGGAAAAATAATAGGTTTGTTCTTTTCTGAGTTAAAATCCCAATATATAAAGTAATATGTAGAAGATTAACTTATCTGGTTAATTAAAAATACAAAACCTCTGATTGAACTGAAAAGTTAGTGATCAAATTCATTTGTAGCAGCAGTATCTAATAGAGTTTTAAAAATCATCCATATAATCTCATGTTGGCATTGTAAAGTAGATATTCAGTTCGAGCTATCATTTCTGGGCTGGTAGATATAACAGTGGCTGGAGGTTCTAGAGATCCCATGGGTCCTGAATCTTGCATAAGTCCCTTTCTGTATGAACAATATACAACAGACTTACAGATCTCTACCTTCTTTGTATTTTTTTTTTTTTTGCCATGTGTATTGCTTGCAAAATGAAAGGTTAATACTCCATAAAAGGCTGGGAACATTTTTTTAATTTTTATTTTTTTCAATATATGAAATTTATTGTCAAATTGGTTTCCATACAACACCCAGTGCTCATCCCAAAAGGTGCCCTCCTCAATACCCATCACCCACCCTCCTCTCCCTCCCACCCCCCATCAACCCTCAGTTTGTTCTCAATTTTTAACAGTCTCTTATGTTTGGCTCTCTCCCACTCTAACCTCTTTTTTTTTTCTCCTTCCCCTCCCCCATGGGTTTCTGTTAAGTTTCTCAGGATCCACATAAGAGTGAAAACATATGGTATCTGTCTTTCTCAGTATGACTTATTTCACTTAGCATCACACTCTCCAGTTCCATCCAAACTAGCATATGGCCTATGCTACAAAGGGCCATATTTCATTCTTTCTCATTGCCACGTAGTACTCCATTGTGTATATAAACCACAATTTCTTTATCCATTCATCAGTTGATGGACATTTAGGCCCTTTCCATAATTTGGCTATTGTTGAGAGTGCTGCTATAAACATTGGGGTACAAGTGCCCCTATGCATCAGCACTCCTGTATCCCTTAAGTAAATTCCCAGCAGTGCTACTGCTGGGTCAGAGGGTAGGTCTATTTTTAATATTTAATATTTAATTAATATTTAATATTTAATAAAGCCACTGTTTTCCTGAGTGGCTGCACCAGTTTGCATTCCCACCAACAGTGCAAGAGGGTTTCCGTTTCTCCACATCCTCTCCAGCATCTATAGTCTCCTGATTTGTTCATTTTGGCCACTCTGACTGGCGTGAGGTGATATCTGAGGGTGGTTTTGATTTATATTTCACTGATGAAGAGCGACGTTGAGCATCTTTTCATGTGCCTGTTGGCCATCCAGATATCTTCTTTAGAGAAGTGTCTGTTCATGTTTTCTGCCCATTTCTTCACTGGATTATTTGTTTTTCGGGTGTGGAGTTTGGTGAGCTCTTTATAGATTTTGGATACTAGCTCTTTGTCCCATATGTCATTTGCAAATATCTTTCCCCATTCCATTTGTTGCCTTTTAGTTTTGTTGGTTGTTTCCTTTGCTGTGCTGAAGCTTTTTATCTTCATG